AAAAATACAGCAAAAGAGATTTGGGATGCCCTCATCAAATTATATGAGGTGAAGTCTCTTCACACAAGAATATTCTTGAAGTGGAAACTCTACACTCTTTGGATGAGTGAATCCACATCGATGACGAATCACATCAACCACTTGAACACCTTATTTGCCAAACTATCAGCAGCAAATTTCAATGTAGTAATGAGCATGCAGAGCTTCTACTTTAGAGCCTACCAGACTCGTATGATCAACTCATCATCAACATAACAAATAATAATATTGACGGACATCTACATTTTGAGGATGTTGTTGGAGCTACTCTAGAAGAAGAATCCAGGCGAAAGAATAAGGTAGAAAGTTTCAAACAAGTAAAAACTTTGACGATGATGAGAGGAAGATCAATAGAACGTGGCTCCAGTGGGAGTCAAAATCATGGCAAGTCGAACTCTTGAAATAAGAAGAATTTCAAATTCAAATGCTACCATTGTGGCAAGAAAGGGCATACAAAGAAATAGTGTTGGAAGATGATGAATGGAGAACCAACCTCACAAAGTTGCATTGCAAATACCTCTGAAAAAGGAGAAACTTTGGGGAGCGAAGCAGCGATCAGTTCAAATAGTGAAAGTAGATTTCATGATAAGTGGATAATGGATTCAGGTGCGCAGGTCGATTCGTGTTCATGGGAAATGACCATGCTTTGCAGATTGCTGGAGTTGGTACAGTCAAATTAAAAATGTATAATGGTATTATTCGCACAATTCAAGGGGTACGACATGTGAAGGATTTGAAGAAAAATATATTGTCTATAGGGAAATTGGATGACCTTGGATGCAAGATCCATGTTAAAGATGAGATCTTGAATGCTTTGAGGGGAAATTTGGTAGTCATAAAAACAGAGAAAATCATGAAAAATCTGTACGTGCTTATGGGAGATACCTTGGAAGAAGCTAATGCAACAACTGCATCGTCAAATCAAGAAGAAAGGATGACAATGTGGCATTGTAGACTTGGGCATATGTCAGAGCGAGGTTTGCAAATTCTTGCGGAATATGATCTCTTACCCGGGCTCAAGAAGGTTGATTTACCCTTCTGCGAGCATTGTGTGACAAGTAAGCAACATAGGTTGAAATTTGCTAGAACAACTACATGAAGTAAGCAGAGATTGGACTTAATCCATTTAATGTGTGGGAATCATCGGAATTGTCCCTCGAAAGGACAAAATACTTTGTATCGTTTATCAATTATTACTCCAGGAGATTATGAGTGTACCCTATCAAGAAGAAGTCTGAGGTTTTTGCTCGATTCAAAGAATTTAAAGCGCAAGTAGAACTTGAAATTGGAAAAAGAATCAAGTGCTTAAGGACAGACAACGGAGGAAAATATGTAGATGGAGATTTTCTAGCATTCTACAAGCAAGAAGGTATTATCAAGCAATTTTCTGTTCCACATACGCCTCAGTAAAATGGTGTAGCAGAGCGGATGAATAAAACTCTTCTAGAAAGAACTAGAGTTATGTTGCAAACTACAGGATTAACCAAGTCTTTCTGGGCAAAAGCAGTTAAGACTGTCTGTTACCTGATAAATCAGTCACCATCAACAGCGATTGGGTTGAAAACTCCTATGGAGATGTGGAGTGGCAAATCAATTGATTACTCTTCCTTACATGTGTTTAATTGTCTTGTGTATGTAATGTTCAACACCTAAGAAAGAACGAAGTTGGATCCAAAATCCAGGAAATGCATCTTCTTGGGCTATGCTGATAATGTGAAGGGGTATCGCTTGTGAGATCCCACTAACCACAAAGTTATTGTTAGCATGGATGTAGTCTTTGCAGAAAATGAACTACAAAGTAAATAGACAAATGATAGCTTAAAGAAGGACAAAGTTGTAGTATAGATAGAGAAGAAGCCTTCGGAAAATTCCTCTGATTTAGAGGATGAGCACAAAGAACATGAGCCAAATGAGGTTGGCGATGGAGAACTCTGACGATCAATAAGAGAAAGAGCAAAACCATCTTGACATATACAATATGTGATGACAAGTCATGATGTGTATTGTCTCCTAAGTGAAGAAGGAGAACCTTCAACTTTTCAAGAGGCCGTGAGTGGTTCAGAAGCTTCCTTATGGATGGCTGCTATGCAAGAAGAAATTGAGGCTCTTCATAGAAACAAGACATGGAATCTTGTGGAACTTCCAAAGGATAAAAAAGCTATTGGTTGCAAATGGGTCTACAAGATCAAGAGAGATGACAATGATCAAGTGGAAAAATATCGTGCTAGATTGGTGGTAAAAGGATATGCTTAGAAACAAGGCATTGATTTCAACGAGATATTCTCATCAGTTGTTAGATTGTCAACAATCAGAATTGTCCTTGCAATATGTGTTACATTTGATTTACATCTTGAGTAATTGGATGTAAAGACTGCTTTTTTTCATGGAGAACTTAAAGAAGAAATATATATGCTCCAACCAGAAGACTTTGAAGAATAAGAAAACTTGGTTTGCAGATTGAACAAATCTCTATATGGTCTAAAGCAGACGCCAAGGTATTGGTATAAGAGATTTGATTCCTTTATCATTAGCCTCGATTACAACAGATTGAGTTCAGACCATTGTACTTATTACAATAAGTTTGAAGAGAATGATTTCATCATATGTGGATGACATGTTGGTGGTAGGCCCCAACAAAGTACGAATCCAAGAATTGAAGGCACAGTTGGTTAGGGAGTTTGATATGAAGGACTTGGGACCAAAAAACAAGATTTTAGGGGTGCAGATTCACTGAGACAGAAAGGATAGGAAGATTTGACTTTCTCAAAAGAATTACTTACTCAAGATCTTGCGGCACTTCAACATGCAAGATTGCAAGCCAATTTCTACCATACTTCCTATCAACTACAAGTTATCCTCAAGTATGAGTCCTAGCAATGAAGCGAAGAGGATTAAAATGTCTCGAGTACCGTATGTATCAGCGGTGGGAAGTTTTATGTATGTCATGATTTGTACAAGACCAGACATTGCGCAAACAGTGAGAGTGGTTAGTAGACACATGAGGAATCTTGGTGGAGAGCATTGGAATAATGTCAAGAGGATCCTTAAGTATATAAAAGGAACCTCAAGTGTTGCATTATGTTATGGAGGATCAGAAGCAATTGTCAGATGCTATGTTAATTCAGATTTTACACGTGATCTAGATAAAAGAAAATCTACTATTGGCTATGTGTTTACCATTGCTGAAAATCTACCATTAATTCAAATTACAAGATGTTGTAGCTTTGTCTACTACAAAAGCTGAATACATGACAGCCACCCAAGCATGAAAGGAGGCTATCTGGATTAAAAGGATAATGGAAGAACTTGGACACAAGCAGCAGCAAATTGTTATGTATTGTGATAGTCAAAATGTCTTACATATTATAAGAAATCCAGCCTTTCATTCCAAGACAAAACACATAGGAATAAGATATCATTTTGTTCGAGAAGTAGTAAAAGAAGGGAGTGTAGATCTACAAAAGATTCACACTGACAAAAACCTAGCAAATGTCATGACAAAACTGGTAAATGTTGACAAGTCTATAAAATTTCCATTTTTTGCTTCTTGTTCCTATTCAATTTTTTTCGTCACTACTTTAATTGAGTTCTTATGCAATTAGTATAATGTCTAACATAATACAGGATATTCAATCATTCCCATAGCAAAAACTGAACAGGAAAAGATCTAATACCATATAATTGGAGTTACTCAATCCTATAAAACCAATTTGTATGGTAAGAGTTGTCTTATATTTATATACTATAGTTTCTGGTAAGAGTTGTCTCATATTTATATACTATAGTTTGTTTATATCGCTAATCGATGAAAGATCTCCCACAACGAGGAAGTTATCCCCTGTTTTGCTACCCATTTTCTTCCACCTGAAAGTTTTAATCTGTAGTCATTGTTTTCAAGATTGGGTCACTGACTTTATTATAACTATATTATCTTTGTACTTTCAGCCAAGGCAAAACTTTCAAAATGATCTATCTACGACTCAGTAAATTATAAGCGACAGAAACCTAAATTGTCAATAAATACTACAGAAAGATCAAGGAGATAACTAAATCAGCTGCAAAGAAGAAACTGAATTCTTAAAAAAGGGTACCTCCTGCACAAATCTCCATTTTGAGTGCAATCTACTCTCCCCATAATAATACGGCCATCCGCTTCTGGGTCATATCTACATAAAAGGCAATCATTCAAATAAGCCATCAAATTTGTAAAGTGATGCTAAGATAATTACCAATTAAACAAAAGAGATGACACAGTAAACTTTCGAAAGTGTAATTTCTAGGAGTGAGAAAAACACAGTAAAAATTGAAGTACCTCTCTTTAATTATTTTAGATGCTTTCTCCCATGAAGGTTTCTGAAAGGAAAGAGATAACGAAAGTGTCACATAAAAACCTTCAAACATTAAGCAGAATAACTTCTACATGATTTCTTTCATCACAACTTAGTAATTCATCAATATATAGGCAGATTTTACGCACTATGCAGCACTTTCAACCTTTGCATGCCACATAATTTAGGCTTTTGCATCAAGAAGTTGCATTAATCACTATTAAAGTCTATTCGTTGATTAGCTTGCGTTGCAGTAAGCCTTCAAATTAGCCTTTACCCCTACTATATTGTTTTTACCTAACTTCATAAGGAATAAGAAGTTATTGAAAGTTGAAACAGAAAAGTTAATGTATTTAGACAACAATAAAGACATGAGGAAGCCTTTTTCTGTTGAACTAATGAGGAATCAAGAAATGAAGATAAAGTAATTACCAATCGTTGACTCCAATAACACCAAGGAGCATAAAAATTAATAACTGTAATTGGAAACCTGCCAAAAGGTTATCCAAAATGGGGTTAATGATACAAAAATATTGTGCACTTCGAGACAGAAGAGAGAAAGAACTATTCAACTCTCAAATAGCTGAAACTCAAAAAACAACAACAAATGAATGAATTGTTTGATTAACCCCCTTACTGGTGAGCATATTTATCAAAATTCTCTGCTGTGAGTTCAAGAGCACCTCCAATGGATTCTTCATTTACTTCATTATCGTGCTTAATGCTTTTAGGAGCTGGTTCTGAATGGAACTCTGCACCAGTGGGTCTTAAACTTGAATCAATAGAAAACTTGCGAACTGTTTTTGTTAGATTCAGCCTGTTCTGAAAACAAGAGGTCACAAATTAAGGACAAGGATGAAATATCAACAAACAGAGAGTACGTATTATAGCACAAGAAATCATAAAATTCATAAAAATATGAGGATTTTGCATCTGGAACCTAATGAAGAGCATAAAGAAGTACTAAATCTATGTCAAATACTTCTTATATTTCAGTGGCCTGGCTTCACACTTAAAGGGAAAATATAGCATTAAGAACTTTGAAAGTCCATTAATGAATAAATGTTGTGAAGGTTAAAGATATCTTTATTTGATAAACTGAAACTTCTACAAGAACCAATAAACAGTTTGTAGTGGTTAATTACAAGATGCATATGTCCGAATTCACAAAATTATAAAAAGCACCTTCCATGAACAGTATCTTCGTGTTTAGCCAATAATTTGCTACTCAATTTAATGAATATCTATGAACTTAATATGTTAAACAAATGGAAATAATAAAGAAAAGGAGATTTTAATTTTTTTGCTGTCTTGTAGACAGTTTAACAACACTATGGTAGACTCAGGGAGTATATGACACATTTAACTAATTAAAAACCGAAGTAAAATTTCTAAATCCAGAAGCATAAATCTATGTTGTAAGAGATGATCAAAAGGAAATCATAGAAACTTACTGTTCCCAGTACGTCACTCACATCAACTGATGCAAACTCACAAGAGAGGGCAGGAAAACTACAATATAAATTGAAGCCATCAGCAGGAAACAATTGATAGAGAAAAGAAAAGTTCGTAAATAGCCATACAAAGTCAGAATAATACTATGAATAGCTATAGTTGTTACATGAATTTAACAAGGAATAGAAACTCAGTTAAATCATGAAACATATAAAACACAATTATCACCAGGGCAACCCTTGATTTCATATCAATTTCACGGACCATCACAACATATCAAATATATATATATAAAAAAAAAAAAGTAAATTGGGTTTCCAGTTTTTCAGCATCCCATCCCAATTCCAGTTTGAAAAAAAGCTTGACAGGAAGAAAGAAATGTAATATATGAACATCATTGATATCTAAATAGAAAATGTTTTAACCTCTTGGAGGAAATAATTTTTGTCCAATAAGAATTCAAATTACAAATCATTTTCTTCAACAAATTAACTAAAATTTTTATGAACAAGTTACCAAAGGTTTAACCTCTTGTAGATTCTCAAGTGAGAGTTACAAAAATGCTTGATAACAAGAGTGATGGAATAAAAATATTATGCAGCACAAGTTCTATGCAGTATACCAAGCCCATGTGGAGAAAACATTGAAGCTCTATGCAAAGATAGAAAAAGCCGATTTAGCCTTGTACCTCATATTGAAATCAATACGTAAATAGTCCCCGTCAGTACTCTTGTCAACAATAACAGATGTAGCGGTGCTGACAGACAAATAACTATTAAGTTCCTGCAACACAGTTGCATGTTATAAATCAATATTGCATTTTGACAACTAATTCTAAGATAAAATTTGACAAAACCAAATTGAGGCATTAGACCTAATAACAATCCAAGGACAAATGCATGAAGGATTCACATGTCATAAGCACAAACATAAGTAGTAAAAGCTACAAACCATTCCAAATAAAAACACCATGCAGAGAGCTGCTACTATGGATAACCCTGCTCCGGATAATGATGCCTCGGTTAAATCTCGGGGTATTTTTCTGTAAACAGAAAACAACCAGTAGGCACATATCTATTAGCAAAAATATAATGTTACTTGCATTCACAAATCGACCCCTATAAAATTGAGTACTTTTGCAAGAGTAATTTAATTTCTTAACCACTCTCCCTCAAAGAATAACATGTCATTCTTTCTTGTTTGGTTTAAAAAAAATATATTGCTCCCATTTCTTGTTTTCAGTTTTTGAAAAATTACAACAAAATTAACACTTTTTTTTCACTTTCTTGTTTCCAAAGATTTACATAAAAAGCGACGAAAACAGAAGAATCATGTTTTCAGCGTTTCGATACATATCTTTGAAAATAGGACACAACTTAAAATCAAAATGGCAAATTTGTAAATATTTGTGAAAACAAGAAATATAAACACAATTTTTTTTTTTTTAAACCAACCAAACCTTAACTTTTCCTTTTCAAATTGTCAAGATTTATTTAAATATGATTAAACATATCCTATTTTTCAGTTTCAAACATCTCTCTTTAAATCTATGATATCATACGTACTAGATGAATTCCGAAAAGGTAATGTGCAAGGCACAGGAAATTCACCATTTATAACTAAACGTTAAATTGCCTGTAACAAATACACTAAGTGGACAACATATACAACCATTTTTTTTACAATTTTAAATTTGTCCATTTGTTACTGTCAGTTTTAAACTTTTAGCGCTTTCGGTAAACAACAAAGTATCACATCACAATACTTTAAAAGACTTCCCCCTACCAGTAAAAACATTCAATATTTCTAACAGATGTTGCACATGGTTCATAGTATGGTATACAAATTAACCAATAAAATCCAGAGGCTTTGTTAATAAAAATAAAAGATACTTGATTCCTTAAACATGTATACGAAGTGGAACACGTTGACAAGGTTCCATGCATGTGGAGAAGTCTTCATTAAGAAAGACAAAAATCCATTTGGATTATCTCCATCCTCAACATTCGGAAAGTGGTCACTACACACTCCCAACAAAATTCAAACTAAATCCCCCATTCACTAATATATATTTTTGCCTTCATTTTGGCATATAGACACTGATTAAATACCGCATCATTGTTCTCTTATACTGCACATTTACCCGAATCACACCGTGATCATGTGTCCGCAACCATAATTGCAGCTGCATCTGTCACGTTTATCTACAATTTTCCAATTATCAAGAAAAACGACGAAACTGCTACTGCAACCGATTTTAAACATTTACCAAATTCATAACAGAAGAAAAACGAATTGATTGGATTGAATTACAGCTACACCAAAAGCAGTCAGTCACAGGCCATGAAGAAACCTCATATAGAGATAACTAAGTGAATAATAGAGAAGTAATAATCATGATATGAAGCAATCGGTAACCATATGTTTACGGTCAAATTGACGCAGCCACCGGCATTGCAACTGAAGATTTGCACGTGTATTCAATATATATATATAGATAGATGGAACAAGCAAAGCAATCCAAAACACGAAATGCACAAATGTGGAAGAATAGAAAATAGAGATAGACGTGAAGAGAGGTAGATCGTAACCTGTAAAAATCGACGGATTTGAGTTTGCTGGAGGAAATCATGGCTGCGAGAAAGCGGAATTTCACGGAAAATGGAAAGGAAATAGAAGGAGGATAACAGAGGAAGAGGAGAATTGGAGAAAGCTCAAATCCCAAGGGATTGAGATTTGAGATTGAAATGGAAAATGAGATGGTAATAGATCGAAGGAGAAGGAGCTTTTCTTCAACTGTTAGCTTTTCCGTTGAGTTTTCGTTCAATACTAACTAAAACTCCGCGCTCTCTGTCTCTCCCACTCGGTTTGCGCATGTATTATTATTTTGTTTTTTAAAATTATTATGATATTACAGTTGAGTCACTTTTCTCTAATAAAATAGTATGAGAAAAACTTTCGCAAAAAGAAAAAGTACAAAACACACACGCACACAATAAAATATGTCTAAATTTGGAAGAGGCTATGACTAACTTATTTTAACTTAACTTTTTATAAGTGTTGGTAAAAATATTTGAGAAAATTAATAAAAATATCTTATCATTATTTCATATTAGCAATTTACTTTTTATAATAATAACTTATGTCAAACTAATAAAAAATTAATATTCTAATCATGACAGACTAAATATATAAACTGCGAATAATTCTTATTCTTTCAATTTATTTTACAAAATAATATTTGAATTTTTCATTTATTCACTCAAATTAATACTATTATGAGCTTCTAAATATATATATATATATATATATATATATATATATATATTATAATTATTTTTCGCTAATAATTTTTTTAATTTTATTGTGTTTATTTTTTTTACCAAGATATAATTTACATACATATATTTATATTTTGTATTTAAAATGAGTTACTGTTTTTAGATGTTTAAATTAATTTATACACGAATGTGCTGAACCTTTTAGGTTTATATCATGATTTTATGAGATATATATTCTAAATTGTTTTGAAATAAATATATAGTTCTAATTTTAATACCTTAATTTATATTTTTACTATATTTTGATTATTAAATTTCTTAATTTTAAAACTATTGATTAATGGATTTATTATACAGGAGTAATGTAATCATCATTTGTCAACTAAAACTGTGGGCCAATTGGAAAAATTGGGCTATCCAAACAAGTAATTAACCTTTAATATTATCTTTTAATTATATAAATATTTTTTTACTTTTTATTTATTAATATTTTTATTAGATAAATTAAAACTTTTTAAAATTATATAAAAAAGAAAGCATTCATTATAAAATATAATAAATAATTAAATTAAATTAAAATTAAATATTTATTTATTCAATTACACATATAATATTAATTAATTTTTTTCATTAACATCTTTAAATTAATATAAATATATTTTAATTTAACTTATAAATATTAACTAGTTAAATTTAAATTATTGATTATAATTAGATATTTTAATTTATAAAAAGTTTTAATTTATCTAATAAAAATATTAATAAATAAAAAGTTAAAAAATATTTATATAATTAAAAGAAATTAAACAAAAAATTAAACAAAATTTTATATAAAAGAATATATTAATAATTTGACCTGCAGTCAACACATTCTTACTATAAAATAAAATATATTTAATTTATTTTATATTTATTAATATAACATAAAATTAAACATATTATTTTATAACAAATATAAACAAATATTCCCTTATTAAGATAAAAGAGATTTAGATTTTAATTGATTCATACTATATATTTAACAATATTATTATTTTATATGTCCTCTGCAATCAAGAAGCGCATCTGGTGTAGTGGTATCATAGTACCCTCCCACGGTACTGACCGGGGTTCGATTCCCCGGATGCGCATCTAAATGAATGTTTTATACTTTTTTTTTTTTCAACCAAATAGTTCTTTTTAACTTTATGACCTTTTTTTTTCTTAACATTAACAATAACAATAATAATAATAATATTAATATAAAAAAGAACAATGCAGAATCACTTATATTTAAAAAACATAAAAATAATTGATTGAATGTTTCTTGTATCAGAAATAGTATTTTTTTAGAAGGAAAAAGTATATGTAAAATTGATAATTGATATAATTAATAATATAAAAATTCTGCAGGAAAAATGTTAATAAATAATTAGAGTTAGCAAAAAAAAAATATGCTCAATAAGGGTTCCTTCCTCTACAATGCATGGGGGAGTTTTATTGGCTGACGATTTGTCAAAGCACAATAATTGTCAATCAAGGAACATTGGTTTTACAAAACACCTGATTATTTTACACACGCTGTATACTACCTTTAACATTTTACAAAAACATAGGTTTAATCAATTCAATTATTAAATCTTGAAATATTATCCTAAAATTTTATTTTTTTGATATAGTATTAGTTTTAATATGTTTATGCTATCTAACCAATTAACAATATTATAAATACAACTTTTCAAGTAATTACAAAAAAAAATTAATGATTTTGTTATGAATGAAAATTCATAATAGAAGGATGTTGTAATAGTTTTTACATTATTAATATATTTTAATTAAATTCTTATATATAGGATTACATATATTAAATAGTTTTAAGTACTTTTGATAATTAAATTTTATGAAATTAATTTATTTTAATCAGGAAAATATGAAATCCAATCAATATTAAAATGGGTGCATGTCAAAATTTACAATTGATAGTCAATAGGATAAAAAGTCACCTAAACTTTGTGATGTCACTTTTAAAAAAGTATTAATTTTTTTTTCTTAGCAGAAAGAATTACAATCTTCCCATGCATGTGATGGCCTTAATCATCTTTCCTTCCACTTAATTATTTCAGAAACAGTTAGTCAAGAAAGGAATTTAGAAATTTGTTGGGCAATTTTCTTTTTCTAACTAATGATTTCAGAAAGTATATTTGAGAATCATAAAATTACCGTGAAGGAAAAAAAGTGTCTACTAATGATTTTATCACTACTACAAAATATACTTTCAACGTCGTCATTTAACGTCGGTTAAAGCTGAGCCGACGTTAAATACACTTTCAACGTCGGTTGGTTAAAAAACGACGTTGAAAGTGGAATGTTGGACACATTCTACGTCAGTTCTTAGTCAACCGACGTAGAAAGCACTTTCCACGTCGGTTCTAGATGAACCGACGTTGAATGTGTTTTCACCCAAAAATTCTCTTAATTTCAAAAATTGTCACTGAAAGGATTCGAACCCAGTATTTTAGAGTTGAAAATTGATACTCCAACCACTAAACTACTCGTAATTTGCTGATAATAACTTACAAATTAATTATATTTATATACAAATAAATATATATCCGTGTAAATATATATTTATTTATATATATTTTTTGGAAAGTGTTTTTATTTTTTTTCGATCAAAAATTCTCTTAATTTCAAGAATTGTCACTAACGAGGATTCGAACCCAGTATTTTAGAGTTGAAAGTTGATACTCCAACCACTAAACTACTGTAATTTTCCGATAATAACTTACAAATTAATTATATTTATATATAAATAAATATATATCCGTGTAAATATATATATTTTTCGGAAAGTGTTTTTATTTTTTTCAGCCAAAAATTTACTTAAGTTAGAGAATTGTCACTAACATGATTTTTTGAACCCAGTATTTTAGAGTTGAAAATTGATACTTCAACCACTAAACTACTATAATTTTTTTATAATAATTTACAAATAAATTATATTTATATACATATAAATATATATTCGTGCAAATATATAAATATATAATATATAAATACAAATATATTTATATATTTTGATATATTTATATATATTTATATAGTTATATAGTTATATATTTATATGTTGGATGTGAAGGCGCGTTCGAGGGTGAAAGTGAGATTGACTCTCGCTTGAGTGAAAATACGTTAAAACTCATGGAAATTCACTCGTTCAAGCCTCGCTTGAGCGAAAATTGGTATTTTTCGCTTGAGAGAATGATGCGTTTCTCATATTTATTTTATATCATTAATAAATTATAAATATTATATTCCGTCATTAAATTATAAACCCATATAAAGAGACTCGCTCACAAATTTGACATCAAATTTTGAAAACTCACTCGACACACTTTCACCTTCGAGCGTGCCCTCACATCCAACATATAAATATATAATTATATAAATATATCAAAATATATAAATATATTTGTATTTATATATTTATATATTTACACGGATATATATTTATTTGTATATAAATATAATTTATTTGTAAGTTATTATCAAAAAATTTGAGTAGTTTAGTGGTTGGAGTATCGACCTCCAACACTAAGGTGCTTGAGTTCGAATCACGTCGGTGACAAAAAATTAATAGGGATTTCTAGATAAATAGAGAGAGCGGTTAGAAATAAATAAAAATTTTCGATTTGAAAGTCGGAACTTTCAACGCTCGGTTCTATTTAACCGACGTGGTCGGTTCTGAACCGCGTTGAAGGCCTTCCAAAACCGAGGTGAAAAACGTTATTTGTAGTAGTGTATCTATGAAATCACATTTTTAGGGAAAGTAATAAAATTTAAGTGTGAAGAAAGTCTCGTGTAACTAAGTTCTAGAAAAATTTGAAATCAACGTGTCCTCAAGATTCAGATATTATAACTGGGGCGAACTTCTACAAAATGCTGAAAGAGGAGATGAAAATCCTTGAAAAACATTCTGATGCTTAAATTAACATGTGAACAAAATATATTAAAATATATTCAAAAATTATATCAATCATCCACAAGTTTTATTTAGTTTAATATTTATAAATATCTTACCGAATAAATAGTGTAACTGAATAACTATGATAATAACAAATTAATTACTCCAATAATAATAAAATTAATTAGTATCTCTTAAGAGAGTCTATTTATCTTCTAAAAAGTCGAACCGACACAATTTATGATTTTATTTTATTTTATCTAAATTCACATTATTAGTAGAATTATCACGAGGTATCACATGATTAGAAGTACAATGTACGATTGTTAAGGAGGTAGTTATAGTTTTTGTCACAAAAGTATAAAAATAACAAAAATATTAAATATTTTATTTATATTTTTTAATCAAAATAATAAAATTACCATATATAAAATTCCAAATAAATTTCATAAGTGTACAAGTGATTAGCTTTACCAATTACATTGAAGAACCAAAATAATGCCATGAATTATAGTTTGGTTTTTAAAACAAATTCTATTCAATTTGTATATTTTAGCAAGGTTATCGTTATCGCATCATCATTATCTCTTTTTTCCATCCTTATCCGCACTGATGAATTTTTTCCTGTTCACCATTTGGTAGAAGACGGCAGTGACTTTCTTACGATAAGACAATAAATACATTAAATTCGCCGGTGAAAATAGATAACTTCCACAACCCAATTCATGCAACCTCATCATTGTTCTTGGTTTAAGGTTTGTCAAAATAAGATTTTAGTGGAAATAAATAAAATTGTTATCATATACCCTTAAAATCTGGTGAATATATATATATATATATATATATATATATATATATATATATATTCAATTTTTTTCCTCTAATAGTTAAAATGAATGATGTAAATTAACAATACATTTTTTTATTCTTAAAATAAATAAACCTCTTCTTCCTTCCTCTCTCTAAATGGTATAAAAAGAACAAATGCAAGGCATTGCATTTGAAACAAATAAAAAGGACCTGATGAAACACAACACATGTGGTGAAATTTGAAAAACAACGCTTGATTCATAGTATATATACAACATGCTATAGCTCTCTAGCATGATATTATCCATTGCCTTAAGAAAATTATTCATTATGTGCACTAATTAAGAAAGAGAAATTCAAGAGTAGCATTCTTTAAACGCCTTGAGATTCAAACAATTCATCATTTTTGTCATTTTTTTTTCCACAATATTTTCCTTTTTTTTTTTTTTTTCTCTGGGTGTCCATGAATTCTTTCCCAAATGCATATATATAGTGGTTTATCATAGAACTAATCAACCTATATATTTCACTATCACCTTCAAAGGAACTAGGCAAAGGCCTTTCTTCTTCAGCTCTGTGTGGTCATTGTCCCTTCTGTTAAAACCCACTTCTTGCCTTTCATCTCTTTCTCCTGGGCTATTTCCTTTTTCCTACAAAAACAAAAGAGAAACTTTTGTTGGTTTGGAAAATACTTAAATCGTTCATTTATTTAGTTCCACAATCAACATGCTTGTATATGAATTACAAGAAGCTTCTGAGTCTGAAGTAAAAGAAGTCTCCATTTGGTAATAAGGAAAAAGATACAACGATAATTATTTATGAAGTAAAAGGTTTTAACCTTCGCTTAGTTAAGCACAAAATGACATTAAAAAAAAAAAGCAAAGTTTTTCATTTTCAAATTCTATCAAATTCGATAAAAAATTCTAATCTAAAATAAAAAATTTACTCTTTACTCAAATTCTCAATAAATACCAATTAATATTTTATTGACGGATTATTTTTTTTTATTGATTTTTTTAATTATTTATCCAATTCTCAATTAAGACAGAAATGAAATAAAAAGTTAGATTCTTGAGTAGTCTACCCCTTCGAAGGCGGAATCTCCTTAAATTTATTAATTAAATAAAGAAATATCCCCAAATTCATAAGAGATTTACTAAGTTTTTCATGTATATTTACCTTACCTTCCGAACATCTATATATATTATTATCATTATGAATATATAGTGTAAATTGAGTTGATCAATCAACCTGGAAATTGTCCATTTTTTCCCTGTGCTTTGTATAACTGGTTCTCATATACAAAGCCTGCAATATTTTCAACAAATTATATAATATACCTTCACTTTCCCTAATTGAAAGGAAACACATTAATAATGTATATCTATAGTTATTATCAGAAAAGAAGAAGAAAAACAATGAACCTTAGAGCCTTTAATAGGAGAACTTGCAGTATCTTCCAAAGCATCATCAACGACCAAAGAAGTTTTGATCTTCTTTCTCTTCTTGACACTGGAATTTGTGCTGCCATCATCAGTTGACATTTTCTTAGCAACAGAGACAAAGGAGGTGGAGGAGTAGTTATCAACACCGGATAAAGACACAGAACAACATTTGTGATCATCAAAATGATGGTTGTTAAGGAAATCCTCAAAGTACTTGGTCCAACCACTTTCCTCAGAGGAGTCACACTCACTGGTCTCATTATTGGAAGAAGGAGCTTTGGTTATGATAGTACTCATAGAAGCCACCTTAGTTTTGTGTCTGAAATACAACAAGATAAGATGAACAAATGATGAAAATACAAGTGGGGTTCGGTGGTGACTAGTTTTAAAGAAGCAATGAAGAGTATAGTTAGTATATGCAATAAACAACGAAGAAATATGCATCAAAATGATTAAATATATGAGGACTTTGGAATCTCGGGGTGGGACATAGAGTTAAACATAGCTACGTGTGTATGTGTGTGTGAGTGTTTTGACCTTTGTGGTATGTGGGAAGAGATTTGGCAGAATTTTCTCTATGGCGGAGTTAACTTTCCATTATTGCTTTGAATTATTCATTCGTTCGCCCCGCCCTATCTCATTCCCTAATCTCAAAGTTTCGCGACAAATTAATTGCATATTTTTATAATTTGATTATATCATAGTCAATTTCATATATATATATATATATATATATATATATATATATATATATATATATATATATATATATATATATTATTTGGTTTGTTTTATAATTGTACTGTCACAAATCATGCGTGCGTTCTGATTAATCCCTAACCTAACTTAGGTCTGTTATATGATCGATAATAGAACTGTGAAACATTTAAGATCGATACTGAAGGCAAGAATCACATACTAATATTCTTAATTTATCCGATTGTACTATATCGTTTTAATATATAAAGACAACTATCACTACTAATTTAAAGCTGAGAAAATTGATAGATAATCTTAGAAATGATCCTTTACGACGAGGATTTTATGAAATTATATATTATGATGTTATTTTATTTTTAATTGATATAAATTTTTTTAACATTGATAAAAAAAATTTATCACACTCCTTTATCATTTTTATAAAAATGAGTTTTCCAATATTAATTAGATAATGAATATTTTAATTTATAATTATTAATAGATATTATTTCAATATTATTAAAGTTAAATTTGATATAAGTTAAAAAGTAAAATATCTGACTCAATTTTTAAAATTGAGTCAGTATCATAATAATTATATTAACTTATATATTATAATATTATTATTGTATCTCTCATATTTATCACTAGACAATATGAATAAATATTGACCCAAAACCAAATAAAAGTTACGAAAGATAAGTGAGAATTTACCTTTTTTTTCCTAGAACAATAACTTTTTCACTATGTGAATGAATGGTCATCTAATCCATTGAATTATTAAATGATATTATTATTTTAATGATATATATATATATATATATATTTGTAATATTTTAAATAAATTGTATAAATATAATATTATAAAAAATATGAAAAACATTTATTATATATAATAATAGTTAGATAGAATGCCTTTCTCAAATAAATCATGAGGTTAAATTGAAATAATTTTACTTTACATATAATAAATATTTGAGAGAAAAATAATGGATATAATTTAATTCAAATATTCACATCCAATTGTAGATATAAATTTATTTATATAATTGGTGAAAACTTGAACTAAAGTATATCCATTAGTTGTCTCCCTCGATATGTTACATAAAAAAAACAATTCAAATAAAAAAAAAATAATCCTTGAACAAATAAAAAACAAGATATAGACTGAGAAAGAATGCAAGATGACAACTATGATGGGAAGTGTGTAATTATACATTGTGGAAAATATAAAATGATGGTTAGATTTATTAATTAAATATTATACGATGTAGAGTCAGTGCTAACAGACACATATAGTCATCATTTTAACCGATTATTTCTTTTTACACATTAGTCCCACAACTTCCATTATAGTGTTGGTGGCCTTCTGAATAAGGTCTCGGCGGCACAAAGAAGAGATATTTAGAAGAAAACAAAATTGAAAATCTTTTTAACCTAGTTTTTATTCAGTAAAAAAACCATCACCATTATCCAACTCTTCTCGCAACAGAATATTGAAAATCTCCCGAGAATTCGGGAGGTAGAGAATTAAGAGTCTTTGGGGATTTTTATTTTTTTTTTATCATTGTTCACTTAAATTAAGTTTCTTGGGTTCATAATTTAAGGGTAGTGATATCCGTTGAAAAAGATAAACAAATAAGGCATCATCATTGGATGGAATGATGCATTGAGAGTTTAATTTTGTTGACTTAAACCATAAACAAACACACGATGGTTTTGAAAAGAATAAAGATGGATGATGACTTTGGCGTTTGTTGTTGCCCATTTGTTTTAAGCACTTTTCTTTATGTGTGTTGCTGATGATGTTGCTTCATAATAATTGTTTTATGGTCTTCACCTGCGAAACTACGTCACCAAAGATCATATCAAAGATTAGTTTTAATTCTTTAGAGTTTACTATTGCCCCCTTGCCCACAAAACCTACTTCAAAAATTGTAGATTAGTTTTTTAATATAAGACTAAGTATGCTTCCATCTGATTAATTAGTTGGTAAACTTGAGAATACCCCCAAAAGAGAATGTCCTTTTGTTTTTCTAGTATTTTAAACGTATTTTAAAAATTAAAAACGTTTTATCTGATTATCAATATTCAAATTAACCACTTTGATTTAATTAATTGATCTAGATTTGAAAATATATAATAATTTACCTACATTGACATGGTATATATTGTTAGTACGCTGTATCTAACTTTTATTGGGATTTGACCGATTATATTCAGTAGATTTTTTTTCTTATTTATATTTTTTTCATATTTCAACCAGAAATTTTGTTAAAAGAGACCCAACCCAAAAAACTTATTAATTAATATAAAACTTGGGCTATGTTTGCAAGGTTTGTCATCTAGTTTATAATGTTGTTTATTAGTTTAAAAACTTGTTTAGTCTAATTAGCAGTGTTTGATAAATTAACTTTTGTAATATTTTTTTAGAACCTACAAGATTTAAAAAAAAATCAAAAATCAAAAATAAAAAAACGCTACATCTAATAACTCTCTTATTTTTATTCATTTCTTACCTTCAAGTACTTATCAAATTTCTCCTACCTTCTTTAAAATAAGATAATTTTTCGTTTAATTTCTTTTCTTTAATTGTTCTATTTTATATTAAAAATATAGTAACAATATTTATCAATATTTAATTTTTATATCATACTTCAAAATAATTTAAAACATATTCATGAGTTTATTTTGAATGATAATATAATTTAGTTTATGATTAAATAAAATATATACTTAAAATATAATAAATTCTTTTATATATTTTAAAATATTTTAAAAATAATATAAATATTTTAAAAATTATAAATAATTTGTTTAATTAATTAGATAATATATTTTTTATGGTAAATGTTGTAAATTTTTTAATAAATAATTTAAATTCTGTTTTCATATTAAATAAATTATAATGTCTATTTTTATATAATAAGTTATTTTTCATATCAATCAATACATTATAATATCGACGTTCATTTTATTTATTATTTTTAAAATATATATTTTAATTTAAAATAAATTTAAATATAAAATATGTATTTTATTTAGATTTAAATTATATTATTATTTAAAATAAATCTTTAAATATATTTTAAATTATTTTGAAGTATAATTTTTTTAAAATTTAATTAAATTTTTATTTTAGATAACTTGTTAAGAAATATTTAAAGAGAGAAAAATGAAAAAAAAAGGATGAAGTGCAGGTGAGAGAAAACTGTAATAATTGAAGAAATAAATAAAAAATGTTACGTGATATATAATGAGTTATCCAATTTTAAATGATAATATGTAAATGTGTCATATTAGGTGTTAGGTGAGTGTATATGTATATAAATGTGCCATATTAGATGTTAAATGAGTGACCAAATTAAAATTACTTTTGTTTAATTAAGAATATCATCAATCATCTCATAGGTTATCTTCAACTTCTCATTATTCAGATGTGATTCTCATCCTTTTCGGCATCTAAGAGATAAAATAGAGCTTCCATTGGTAAGTAAGTTATCGTTCTTTCATTTATTTTCTGTTTTATTCTCTAAAAAAGTTGACATTTGGGGTTATTGGGAAAAGTGGATTATGTGAGTTTGGATTTTGAATGCGTGGGTACTTCATAATTAGGTTAGGTTTGACTTCTATTGAGTATTACTAATTCATTATTCTCTTCAAAGTTTATATACTAAATATAAAGGATTATTAAGAAAAAAAAATCAAGGTAAGAGAATCCAAATCTTGATCTAAATTTAGTTTTAAGAAATAGAGAGAATTTGATAACTTTGTTGATGATTTCTGAAATGTTTTGAATTGAATTTGTATTTTTTTTTTGAACATATGAAAAAGGTTAGTAAAAAGGAGAGGAGTTTAATATGTCATAGTTAAAATAAAAAAATTGATTTTTGTATAAAAGTTTAATTGACTGAAATTTTTTATTTTTTTGTTTGTTTGGATTATCATCCCTTTACCCCATATAAAGGGAAAACAAATAAATTTTGGTTTTGCGAATATTTTGTTATTGATACGTGGATATACATATATCTTACTATAATTCCCTTTTAGTATAAATTGGAGCACTTTATCAGGGAGTTGTTTATTGTTCATTTTTGGAATATTTAATTAGAACAAATGAATAAAGAAAAACATAAATATGTGCTCATTATATCAGTCCGGTCATGATGCATACGGATAAAATATACTTTTGGCATATTCATATAATTGGTATCGTGAATTCAACTATGTGCTCTTATCTTATGTACTATATGATTTTGTGGTATTAATAAATTTTATTTACAATATAGCAAAATATCTATGTTTTAAATGATTTTGATATTGAAGTTTTTTATAATTTATTATTATTATTATTATTATTATTATTATTATTATTATTATTATTATTATTATTATTATTATTATTATTATTATTAATGTTTATGCTTAAATTATTTTGTGAGATGAATTTATTTGTAAGTTAAAATGGAATAATTAGATAATATAAGGTGACCGAGAAAATAAAATGTCTATTATAATTTAAATAGGTTATGATACGACATAGCTATAATTTTTATAAATGTAATATGAGTGTTAAAAGTGCAACATGGCGAAAAAATTAATAGAGATTCTTATCATTACATCTAAGATGACTTTAGTTGTTCCTATTACTCATACAAAGATGGTAAAATTTACAATGTCATGTGTGCTTTAAGAAGAAAATAAGATTATAAATTATTTTTTAAAGTATATCATCTATTTTTTTAATTATGAGTTTATAAAAAAAATTCATATAAATACTTTTATATATGAGATTGATGTGTTACATGAATTTTTTTATAACTAGTTTACATTGTTTATTATCATGCATTTGATATTGGAATGATCTACCTGAATATTATTTCAAGTCCAATACAATATTCTAGGTAGAATTAGAGACTGACTCAATCTTTTAGGCATATATAGATTTTATTTTAGATATAATTTGAATGTTCTCAGAGAAGAAATAAAATTCTATGACTACTTATTTTAATAAAAGAGATTAATAATTCTAAAATAATAAATAATTTTATATCTGTTTATTATATAAATATATAAGATTGTTACATATAGTGTTTATTTTAACAAATACACTAGTTAATATAATGAAAATATAAATCTACTTAGATACATATTTAAACTTGAAAATATTTATAGTTATGAAGCAAAATTAATTGTTATTTGGTGATATGACATTTAGCTACTTTATTTTCATTTATAGAAAAAAGCTACTTTGTGGAATATAAATTATCCTACTCATTAATATGAAATTATTATAACATTAAAAATAGTATATGAATAAGAATTTGTTAATGTTACAAGCACATCTTCTAGTATCGTAACTGAACACACACAGAATCAAAAGTTTTTATCTTCTCAACAATATTTTAAAATGTTGTTAACAATCCATTTTTTCAATCTCAATCAGAGTATTGCTGATCATATATGTCTTGGGTTTTCGTTAGTCACGTCTCAAAATATAAGTATCGAAATTTTAACATGATTTTTGTTGTTTTTTTTGAAGTAGGGTTTTACAATAAAAGATAGTCGTTGTTTTTTATCCGTGGTAACAATATTTCATCATGTAATCATTTCTCTTAATTTTGTGTGTGCGAGTTTTATAGTGATACAACAATTCTAGGTTATCACCATGGATGACAGAGGAATGCCTGACTCTCAGATAATAGTCCACGATCTTGAAGTGATTCATGAGGTAAGTTGAGTATCGAAATTTATATAATCTGCATTCAGTTCGTCATGTTTGAGGCTACACTACCTGGAGTTATTGTTATCAAATTTCTAAAATCAAGTTGTTTTAGGAGAAACAAGAATTTAAATTTAATAAAATTCCTAAAATCAAGTGATTTAGTTGTTTAAGAGAAACAAGAATTTGCATGGAGATGCTAAACATCATATGTTACGCTTATCTTGAAACAGAATACGTAGTTTTTATTCTCGTTTCACACAATTGAATACCTTTTGTTTTTAGGAATTTCCCCCTCTCAGATAGATGCTGACTAACCTTTGATCAGATCAAGGTTGTGCGATGTGGGTTTATCGATTTGTTTTGATCAGATCAATGCTGCTGAACTAAATAAAATTTGAATCTTTTTCTTTTATATTTGATCCTCAATCAATGACTTCTGTATTGTGAATGAGAACTTCATAAATAGTTGAGTTTATTGTAAATTGTATCAACCACACACTAATGCTTGCTTTTTGTTTGTTTGTTTGTTTGATTTATCATCTCAGAATGAAACATTACAGAACAATAATTCGTATGGATCCTCGATATTTGCTTCCGAACAGTTTGCAGATGGTAATGGTACTTTATTGGATTCTAGTTCTTCAGACTGGTTTACGGGTATTGGAGTCGACATGGATCGAGCCAGTGATCTTCTTTATGGATTCTCAATATATCCTGAGCCAACCAAAAGTGGAATCATTGAGCATGCATTTTTTGCCATGGAAGAGTTGTCAAAGATAGGCATTGCAGGGCAACCTTTTTGGCAGCGCCAAGGAAATACTAGGTGTGAGATTTTGAATGACATTGAATATTTGAGGCAATTTGGTCAGGTTGAGACCACGCTGAGGGAGATTGTTAAGTTGATGGAGGTTGGAGAACCTCAATATTTACCAAGCTTTGGCACATATCACACTGAGGATCCACTATCAATTGTAACTCCCACAGTAGGTCCACAAACTGAAGGTTCAAGAGATATAGCATATATCAAAATGGCGCCAATCTGCATTGTTGAATTACTCATGAATGTGGTCAGCTTTTTCTTTCATCCTTTTCATTGTTCATGCATACCAGTCACAGTATAGTTTCACTTGTTTGGAAATTGGTGAACTGATAAGCACATCACTCACAATTATTGATAAACATAGAATATACGATTACAAATACCGTATCATGCCATGATTCTACATGATTAATTTTTTCCATATTTAGCTTGGCATGACAGCGATGCACAGTGATGCACATTAATGTCATATCTGTTAATAGACAAATTTAGGATACCGACTATAATGGTTAGCGTAATTATAGCCTAGAATGTTTCTGTATTTCATGTATATATTGTGCTATCATATTCAACACAAGACAGGGGTTTTTGGAAATATTTTTATCATGGTATCAGAGTGAACCAAACTCTGATATCCAACAGCCCGAGAACACAGTCGTACTTCTAAAATGGCAGAGAGAGGAGAGACGGTGAAGAAAACACCATCGCCATACGATCTGAGTGCCAGTGATAATCCTGGAAATGTGATTACACAGGTACAATTACGAGGAGAGAATTACGAGGAATGGGCAAGGGCCGTGAAGATATCTCTGCGGGCTCGAAGGAAATGGGGTTTCATAGATGGAACTCATAAGGAACCTGAAGAAGACACATCTGAGATAGAAGATTGGTGGACAATTCAATCGATGCTTGTATCTTGGATACTAAACACTATAGAACCTAGTTTGCGTTCCACTGTTGCATACATGGAAAACGCAAAGGACCTATGGGATGACATCAAGGAACGATTCTCGATCGTGAACGGACCAAGAATCCAGCAGCTAAAGTCAGAGTTGGCAGAATGCAAACAACAAGGAATGACTATGGTTTCCTATTATGGGAAGTTGAAAACGTTGTGGGATGAACTGGCAAATTACGAGCAAATCCCACAGTGTAGATGTGGGGGATGCAAGTGTAATATTATGACGCAACTTGAGAAACGAAGAGAAGAAGAAAAAATTCATCAGTTCTTGATGGGGCTAGATGATGAGGGCTATGGAACTGCACGGTCAAATGTTTTGGCAACAGATCCATTACCCTCGTTGAATCGGGTGTATGGCACCATGGTGCAAGAAGAAAGGGTGAGAACAATCACCAGGTCTAAAGAAGAGCGAGGAATGATCGTGGGAATGGCTATGCGAGCGGAAACCAGGAACAAGTTGCGCAATGAAGCGAAAGAAAAATCAGTTGTTTGCATGCAGTGTGGAAGGAAGGGACATGACAAAGGCAATTGCTTCAAGATCATTGGTTACCCAGAATGGTGGGGAGAGAGACCACGAACCGATAAAAACGATGAAAAAAATCAACAAAGAACAGGAACCTTCCGAGGAAAAGGAGGAACGGCTCGCGTCAATATGGCGCACACTGGTGCAGATAACGTTGGTTCAACCGAAAAACCAGAAGTCGCAGGACTGAGTAATGAGCAATGGCAGATCTTGACAACGAATGTTGAATTCTCGCAAGGCAAATGAAACCGAAAAGATGACTGGTAAGAAAGCATGTGACTTGTGGATTATTGATAGTGGCGCCTCTAATCATATGACAGGAACACTAGAAAACTTGAGGGAGAGTCGAGCCTTGGAAGGGTGCCCAGTGGGACTACCAAATGGTGAATTGGTGCTGGCAAACAAAGAAGGATCGGTTTTCCTTGATGGAGGACTGAAACTTAAACATGTTCTATATGTTCCGAAATTGAATTGCAATTTGATTTCAGTATCACAATTGACGAATGAAGTAAAATGTACAGTACATTTTACTGATAGATTTTGTGCAATGCAGGACCACACTTCGAGGATGCTGATTGGAGCGGGTGAACGAAAAGAGGGACTCTATTGGTATCGTGGTGTGAGTGACATAAAGGCGTATCAGACCAATGCAGAAAATCAACTAGAGATTTGGCACAAGCGAATGGGACATCCTGCCTACCAGATTGTTAGAAAAATTCCGCATCTGAACAGCGTGAATAGAAATACGGATACAACTCGTGTGTGTGAAGTGTGTGAGAGATCAAAGCAATGCAGAAACACATTTCCTTTAAGTGATTTTCAAGCATCCAATATATTTGATTTAATACATTGTGATGTATGGGGTCCATATAGAACTCCCTCGTCTTGTGGTGCATCTTACTTTCTCACTTTGGTTGATGACTGTTCTCGAGCTGTGTGGATATATCTCTTGAATAATAAGAAAGATGTGTCACAAACCTTAATGCATTTCATTGCCTTAATAGAACGACAATACGAGAAACAAGTCAAAATATTACGAAGTGATAATGGAACTGAGTTTATGTGTCTTCAACGATATTTTCAGCAACATGGGATACTCCATCAAACCTCATGCACTGGAACACCTCAGCAAAATGGGAGAGCCGAACGAAAACATCGACACATCCTAAATGTAGCTCGTGCTCTACGATTTCAGGGAGAACTTCCACTTCAATTCTGGGGAGAATGCATTTTGACCGCAGGATACTTGATCAATCGTACACCCTCAACCGTTCTCCATGGAAAAACTCCATATGAAATATTGAATGGGAAGCCACCCACTTATGACCATCTACGGGTATTTGGATGCTTGTGTTATGCACATAACCAAGATAGGAAAGGTGACAAATTTGCAAGTAGAAGTCGCAAGAATGTATTTGTTGGATATTCAATCGAAAAAAGGGTTGGAAATTGTTTGATCTCGGAAAGAGAAGTCTTCCGGACTTCGAGAGATGTTAAGTTTGTAGAACATGAATTCCCGTTTGCCTCTCTTGCCCACAGTATACATTCAGAGGTAGGATTGCCTACTCGTTGATGTTGGCATGTTCGAGGAAGCATTGCCTGGACTTGGTGCAATGAACAATGCAGAACACGTTGTGGAGACCGATGACGTTAACCCCACAACGGAAGATGTGCCCACAACCGAGTTCGGGGAGGGCCACGCCGAATGCCATGAACAAGAGTCTCCCACCCAGATCGTTCTCCCACCGAACAAACCGACTCTATGATGACAGAACTAGAGGTTCCTGAGGAGCATACTTGTCCTTGCATCCCCGGGGAAAGGTCTTCGTGTACGAAAGCCATCTCGTGAAGCTTCGTGATTATGTCACTAACACCACTTTACAACTCGGTTCCTCAATTCGCACTCCACATTCAGCTTCCTCGGGTATGCCTTACGGTTTGACAAAGTACTTAAATTGTGCTAAATTCTCCTTCCCCCACCGAACCTTTCTTGCAGCCTTTCATGCGAGAGAGAACCTGTGCATTTCTTTGAAGCCGTTCGGGATGTTAGATGGAGAGATGCCATGGCTAGTGAAATTCAGGCCCTCCAAAGTAATGAAACATGGGACATTACTCCTCTACCAGCGAGGAAGAAGCCTCCGGGTTGCAAGTGGATTTATAAAATCAAATATCATTCGATGGGAGCGTTGAACGCTTCAAAGCCCGATTAGTTGTCTTGGGAAATCACCAAGTTGAGGGGATTGACTATGACGAGACTTTTGCCCCAGTGACAAAGATGGTCACCATTCGGACAGGTGTTGGCAGTGGCGTAGCCAAAGACTGGGAACTTCATCAAATGGATGTCCATAATGCTTTTCTCGCACGGCGATCTTGAGGAAGATGTGTACATGAAAATGCCGCCGGGGTTCTTGGTGTCTCAAAAGGGTATGGTGTGTCGTCTCCGCAAGTCCCTTTATGGTCTTCGTCAAGCTCCTCGGTGTTGGTTTGCCAAACTCTCAACTGCTCTTGTTCAATATGGGTTTCAACGTTCTTCGTCTGATCACTCCTTGTTCATCTTTCGCAAAGGACATGTCGAACTGGTTGTGTTAGTTTACGTGGATGACCTAGTCATTGCTGACAATCATCATGAAGACATTGCGCAATTCAAAGATTATCTTCATCAATGTTTTCGTATGAAGGACTTAGGGAAATTAAAATACTTTCTTGGGGTGGAGGTTGCCAGATCTCCTACAGGAATTTTCTTGTGTCAACGGAAGTATGCGTTGGACATCATAGCTGAAGCAGGATTGCTTGGAGGGAAACCTGTGTCCACGCCAATCGAAGAAAATCATCGTTTAGCATTGGTCGATGGCGAACTACTTTCCGACCCGAGCCTATATCGACGTCTCGTCGGTCGCCTTATTTACTTGTGTTTTACACGACTCGAATTATCTTACGGTGTTCATGTCCTATCTCAATTCATGCACCAACCGCGTCGAGGAGCATTGGCGGGCTGCACTCCGCGTGGTACGCTATTTAAAGGGCAGCCCAGGTCGGGGTGTGCTTTTAAAAGAGAGAGTGACCTTCGTCTTTATGGTTGGTGTGACTCGGACTGGGCAAGTTGTCCTCTAACTCGAAGATCTCTCACCGGTTGGTTTATTTTCCTTGGTCAATCCCCCGTTTCCTGGAAAACCAAGAAGCAACATACGGTTTCTCGATCATCCGCTGAGGCGGAATATCGTTCTATGGCCAACACGACATGTGAGTTGAAATGGCTTCAAGGTCTTCTTTCGAGCCTAGGCATTACTCACACCGACCCTATGACTCTCTACCGTGACAACCAAGCCGCCCTTCACATTGTCAAGAATCCCGTGTTTCATGAACGGACAAAACATATTGAAGTGGATTGTCATCTTATTCGTGATGAAATACAACACAATCATATCCAACCCTCCTATGTGTCCACTCATCATCAATCTGGCTGATCTCTTCACCAAATCTCTTGGCGCCACTAAATTTGGTTCTTTTTTAGGCAAGTTGGGCATTCACAACCTTCATACTCCATCTTGAGGGAGGGTGATAAACATAGAATATACGATTACAAATACCGTATCATGCCATGATTCTACATGATTAATTTTTTCCATATTTAGCTTGGCATGACAAATGATGCACAAGTGATGCACATTAATGTCATATCTCGTTAATAGACAAATTTAGGATACCGACTATAATGGTTAGCGTAATTATAGCCTAGAATGTTTCGTATTTCATGTATATATTGTGCTATCATATTCAACACAAGACAGGGGTTTTTGGAAATATTTTTATCAATTATCGTGATGATATAGATAATTTTTTTTTTCATAAATATTTTCAAACATGAAAATAAATAAAATAAGTTTTTCATAAATGAAAATTTGTTTTTATATTAATTAAAAAACAAATTAAAAAAAGAAACTAGTAGAGAAGTAATTTCTATATATTAACCCATACCTAAACTAATTTTTTTTTTCCTCTTATAAGTATGAAGAAATTTCTCCGTCTAAGCCCATACTTACAACGATTTTTTTTTTTCATGTCATTGTTATACAAAAGCCCAAAGAATAAGAAAAATACTAAACACTAACATTAAATAAGAGAGCCTCCAAACTTATTCAATGGAAATCTAACATTTTTCTCTTCGATCACTTCACTCATTAACTATAATCTCTATGATGTATCCATAACTCAGTTTTCCTTAAGAGCATCAATTGTTAATTAAGTGTAAATAGAAAAATCCAATCCCTCAAATCAGGCTGGTTAGTTCAAAGCTTAAATAAAACATCCAGCAGTTTATTTTATTGAATGTTACTTTTTACAATTTGTTGTAACGTATGTCATTACAAATAACAAATTTTTGTTAGTAGATACAAGTTTTTATGACAAGTTTTTGGCAAAAGTTTAATTATAAACGATAAGTTGTATCATGTAGTAGCCAATAAGACGAAATGGTCGTTATAGAAATGATAGTAAATGACTTGTTATGCATGAGTTGAAGTACTTTTAATGCAAAAATGCAGAATAAGTTTTTGCGCCTAGAAACTGTTTTGTATAAAGCCATTCCACGATTACTCTCTCTCTCTCACTCACTGATATGTTTGGGCTATTTTTGTTGGATATTAACCAGAACCAATGGTCTGACGTATTTTACAACATTGTCTCAAAAGCAGCAAACGTAGGAACTTTGTTAGGAGTGGAAGGAAGCTATGATAACAAATTGCACGTGGTAAGTTCAGAATGTTACTGGTTCTTGTAAAGACTTTAATGTTATATGCTTTCCTAAAGTAAGCACATGCATTCCCGACTCGAGTTCTTAATTGTTTGTGTTATAAACTAAAATTAACTTTCAATGACATAGTTAATATATGATTTATTGTTATATATTGAAATATTTGTAAAGATATAGCAGCCAATGTGAATATGTTGTTCTCATTTCAATGTATACTCTTCCCTTTTCACAGATGAGCGCAGAACTTCATTTGCCTTCGCCTGTTTTATTGACTAGGGAGTGTTATTTTGGAAGATACAGCAAGCAGCTATCTCATAGCACATGGGGGGTCGTGGATATATCATTGGAGAAGTTTCTTCCCTCCCCAACGAGCAATTTTTCGAAAAGACCATCGGGATGTTTAATTACAGGAATGCCTAATGGATACTCTAAGGTTGATTCTTTTATGGGATTTACTTGATTGCATCATGAAGTAAAGTGTGGTTTAAATTTGTTTTCATTTTTAGGTTATATGGGTAGAGCATGTAGAAGCAGAACATCATGCGGACGATTATTTCCAGTCTCTATTCACCTCCACTCTAGCTTTTGGTGCAACTCGTTGGGTTAATTCCTTAGTTCGATATAGCGAATGGTTACAAAGCCTATACGCAACCGCATTGGTTGCTGATGAAGGAGGTATATACAAGCTTCATGTTAATTCTTCTAATATCTACTCATTGACATTAATATATGGTATGTTTAATTGGTTCCATTAACTTAGCTTGTTCTTGTGATATGAACAGTTACTATAGCACAAGCAGGTAGGACAAGTTTGCTAAAACTGGCAGATAGAATGATGAAAACATTTTGTGGAAATGTGAGTTCTACCGCAGACAATCCATGGACGCAAATGGCATGTTCCTCATACGTGAGAATCATGGTGAAGAACAATAACATCAAAGAAAGTGGAAAGCCTCTTGGTACATCCGTGGTTTTCACTACTTCTATTTGGCTCGATGTCTCCCCAAATCGACTGTTCAACTTCCTTCGCCACGAGAATTCCAGAACTAAGGTATTCTCCATATCCTCTTTTGAGCATTTTAAATATTATTTTTATTTGGTTATATAAATCTATCAATATTCTTTGTTATTTGAACGTATAAAAATCTTCAACACTCTATATCTATTATTTCTTTAACTATGTTGAATAATTGCAGTGGGATGCGCTTTCTCGTAGACATACTATTCGAGAATTCGCGTCGATACTCAAGGGTGAAAATCCAGGGAATCGTGTTTCCCTGATGCGAGCAAACGTAAGCAAGCATCATTGATTATCAGCTTTCACCTTTCATTTTTCTATAGTTTATACAAACTCGAACTGAAACCTAAACAACCCTTTATTTGCAATGTTCTTAGAACTCACAGGGCAAGCTTGTAATCTGTTATCTGCAAGAGAGTTACCAAGACTCAACAGGTTCGTACGTGGTGTATGCTCCACTGGACGAGCAAGCTGTGGCAGCTCTTATACATGGATCCAACCCTGACAAAGTGATGATCCTACCATCAGGGTTTAGCATACTTCCTGGAAGGTTGCAGGAAGAGGATGATAGAAACTCTCGAAGTCTTCTAACAATCGCATTCCACATAGTTGAAAGTCGCACAAGTAAGCCATTTATTGCTCCTGAATCAGTAGAAATCATATACAAAGTCATTTCAGATACTGTTAACTCTATAACCGACTCAGTGCTGTATCATAATCATCGCAACAATTGGATGGATGATTGGAATAGTTAGTTCCTAAATGGCTATGCATTGGATGTGAGGAAATGTAACGTGCGTGGTCCTTGTGACTATTCTTGTGTTTTCGGTCTTTCACTACAGAAGCACCCGTACAGGTAGGTATGTAGTGGAAGTTGGTACATACTTTTTCTCATTTTTAGTTTATTATCTACTGGGAGTGTTATTAATATTGATACCTTGATGAACTATTACTGGTTATTGAGTAAGGAGACAATGTTGAGGGTGGTTTAAAACACTAAATTGGCTTCCTGCAATGTTTCGTATGAGTTTGTTTGTCTTGGCAGGACTGGAGAGTACTGATAATTTAGTTTCTTTAAGATTTTGCAGAGAAAGAAAATTTGGAGATTAAATTGTTTTAATTTTTTTTTATTATTTTTCTATTTATTTATTTATATATTCTTTAATACATTTAGTGATATTAAGATGATTGAAAATTAAATTTTAGAATATTATAACAATTGTAAATACAAAGAAGTAAATTAATATTATTCATTATTCTTAAAAATTTTAGTATTTGTTGTTAAGTGAATTTGAAAAGGATGGTCGAGCTTCCAACTAGCGAGCCGAACAAGTATAGGGAAAATAGGAAAGATATGTACAAAAGACTTTTTTTATGATGTTTAATAAGTATGTGAATAAGAATAAAAAAGTTAGTAAGAATATGAATGAGTAACATAAATGAAATAGTAAACTTCTTTAAAGATAAATTAACATAACTATCTGAAATATGTGGGATATTTTTATTCTATTTGTTAGTAGATATTTTAGGTAGTTTATAAGTATCTTGGATGTTTACAATATATAAGGTTCGAGAGTTGTTATACTTGAAGCAGGTGCATCATTACTTGAAGCGAACAAGCTTACGTTATTGTTTCTTCACCTTTTTATTCATTGAGTTCTTGTTATATAACTTTTTCTTTGGTCTGACAACGCATTAATTAGGGAAAATTTCGTAATCATTGTGAACTATTCGTTCCCGTGCGCCTCTCTATTTAATTCATTCTCTTGCTTGTATGCGTGTCATTTGTGCGCTTTTGTTTCTCTACAACTCATGTTCTCTGCTACTTTTGTAATCCTGTGTTCCTCTACAACTGTCGTGGTTTCCGTTTGTGCTTCACTTTTGCAAGGTACTTCAATAGTCTTCTCCTTAAAATTTTGTAATGTTTGATTCTGTATCCGTTGATTCCTCAGAGTGAGTATGTCCTATGGTTTTCAAGGAGGTATGCTCCATGGGGCCCTATCTTCTACCCTCACCTGATAACTCTTGAACCATGCTCCACATCCGATGGAGTTTATATGAAGCCGAGGATTGACGACAAGACTTGATCTTCGTATATGAGTGTTTGTTTAAAGAGCTAGAGATTCTGTTACCATTTATTGTTATTGATTTTGAATGTGAGACGTTACCTATGTTGAGAATAGTTCCTAGCCAACTACATCCCAACAATTGGGCTTTTACGAAGGTGTTTCAAATTTTGTGTCTCTTCCTTCGGATCACCTCTTCCGTCAATGTTTTCATGTACTTTTATTAACTGAAATATGATTCTGAGATCAGCTGGGTCTAAGGTTCTCAATGTCTTCATGTATTTTATCAATTGAAGTATGGTTCATGTGAGTTGGTGATTCTTGTTTGTGTAATTCTATCTCACCTTGAAACGAGTAATATTATAAATCTTCTGATCAAATGTCGTAATTGAGGTGTCATGTACATGACATTTCTTCAAAAGTATTACTGTTCGAACGTAGGTGGCTAAATGTAAGGAATGGGTCTGTGTGATTACTCTACCTGTTATATTGGATTAATCTTGATGTAGACTAGCCCACAAAAAGTTTGAGTTGACTTTGATTGGGCTGATTTGAAAGACAAATAATACTCCAGATATTCTCCCCTTCTTCGCAAATAGTTTCTTTTTTTTTTTATTAAGTAAGGGTTAAACAGGTTTTGATTTTATGGAAAAGGGTAACAAATTTAAAATTTTCCCAAAATGGGTTAAAAGGGAGAAGGTAAGACGATTCCATCCTTAAAATCATAGTTGAAAACACGATTTTGATTAAAATCGGGTTTTCAAATACGATTTTAGTTTTATTTTTTATTTTTTCAAAAATGTGTAATGAAACACAATTTTCTTTTTTATTTTTTGGAAAAAAATATTTTATTTTATTTTTTAAAATATGTTATTTAATAAATAATTATTTTCAATTGAATTATTAATTTAATAAAAAAATATTTAGACAAACATAGTTAAATTTAATTCACTATATTTATATTAAAATATTACATGTATAATAATTAATGGTGAGACCCTATCCATAAGGTGGTCTTTTTATTTACGTGGTTGGTCTTGAATAGGTATTTGTTGTGCTTGTGTAACACACGTACGACCTGTGATGGTTGAGGTTGATTATTTGCTTACCTATCATCATCCTCCCCCTCTTCATTTGCATACTGCATAGGGGACATGTTGGACATAGTAGTCACGAAAAGTGTTTGATTGTATGTTGATGGTGGTGTCATGGAAGAGGTGGAAAACATGTTTGTTTCGGATGGAAACGAAGTAAATGTATGAGGAACTTGTTCTCCAAATTGAAATTGTGTAGATAAATTTTGGAGTTGACCAACATATCCAAAATATGGATAAGGTTGTTGATGACTCAACTGACCAACATGTTGATGACTTAATTGAGCAACATGAACATGACTTGACTGACCAACATGAAAATTACTAGGTTCGCCAATATATTGGGGTTGTTCATGTTGCTTTGTATCATACTTTTAAAAAATAAAATCAATATTAGTTTGATATGAATGTTATATATATAAAATAAAATTATTGATATATTTACTTCTTCATCTGGTAGAGGAAATATATTTGATAGTATGTTGAAAATACCATATCATATAGTTGTAAATTAAGGGGTATTGCAAAACAGAGAACGTGTTCTCACACATTGCAGAAGACCGTTTCAGAGAACGTGTTCTCACACGTTGCAGAAGACTGTTTTACACATTGCAGAAGACCGTTTCAGAGAACGTGTTCTCACACGTTGCAGAAGACTGTTTTAGAGAACGTTGCATTCAGAGAACGTGTTCTCACACGTTGCAGAAGACGGTTTCAGAGAACGTTGCAGAAGACTGTTTCAGAGAACGTTACAGACCCACTACCAAGTCTTCCCATAACTGTTACAGACTTTCTCCTATAAATAGAGACCATTTCACACGCTTCAAAGACACACCTCTCTCATCTTCTTTTCTCTGATATTCTTTGTGTTATCTTGGGTTAATTTACTCTTTTGAGAGTTTCTTGCTAGTTTCTGAGATCCTCGGATATTCCGAGAAGTTCCCGAGAAGTTCTTGTTGTATTCTGGGGGACTTGTGCAATACATTGCGGATAAGTCCTTAAGGGCAGTGATTATACACGTCTCAGGAATAAAGTTTGTTCGTGTCTCTGTTAGTTTTTACAACAATCTTAAGGACTTATGGCTGAAGTATGGATACCAACAACAACTCCACACCGAAAAAGACAAACAAAATTTCCGGAACTCAAACTGTCTTTGCGAAACTGTTCCCGGACGTTTCGAAAATTGAAGTTTTCACTGGGCAAAACTTTCGTCACTGACAAGAACATATTTCTACTCTTAGACATGTATGGAGTGACTTATGCTCTTACAACTACCAAACCTGACTCCAGTGCTCCTGCTAAACAAGCTGAAGATTGGGTTCATTCGAACAAGGTATGTCGACACACCTTGCTTAATGCATTGTCTAATAATTTGTTCGATGTGTATTGTTCCTATAAGGAAGCCAAAGATATTTGAGATTCATTGATTCTCAAATACATTGCCGAAGATGTCGTGAGACAAAGGCTTGTTATTGGAAACTACTACCGTTGGGAGATCCAGATCAACGAGTACCACAAACTACTTGAAGATATTAAAGCCGAAAATATAGTCCTACCTGATGAGTTCGTTTCGTAACTTCTAATCGAAAAACTTCCAGAATCCTGGACAGACTACAAACAACAACTATCACGCACATCATCATCGAAGATACCAACAGGAAGGAGTGTGCTGCTGCAAGGGCTAAGGCATTATTAGCTAAGGAAAATATGATTGAAGACAAACCAACTCCAAAAAGGTACGAGAAAAAAACCTAATTATAAGAAGAAAATTAATTTTAAAAATCCTCGTCCTAATGGATCTAACCCCACCTTCAAGAAGAAGGGAAATTGCTTTGTCTGTGGAAAGTCAGGTCATCATGCACCTCAGTGCAGACGTAAAATGAGAAACGACAATCCTTCTAAGGCAAATTTAGCCAAGGAAGAAGATACAATTATTGCAGTCGTTTCTCAAATAAACCTTGTGACAAATGTGAGCAAATGGGTGGTAGACTCTGGTGCTACCAAGCACATCTGTGCAAACAGAAGTGTTTTTACCTCCTACACTAGTGTGGGGATGGAGAAGAACATGTTTATCTTGATGATTCCAGGACAACTCCTGTCTTAGGAAAAAGAAAAGTTCTTCCAAAACTCACATCTAGAAAGACTCTGGCCTTGAATGATGTGCTACATGTGCCATTAATCAGAGTTAATCTAATCTCTGTAGCACTATTGGGAAAAGTTGGGGTTAAAGTGTCATTCGAATCTGATAAGATTGTTATGACAAAAAGTAATATTTTTGTAGGGAAGGGATATTGTGATCAAGGTCTTTTTGTACTTAACATCTTTGAGGTTGTTAATGAATATTGTTCTTCTGCTTATATTATTGATTCATATAATTTGTGGCATGCTAGACTAGGACACGTGAATTCTTCGTATGTTATGAAATTGCAACGATTGTGATTAGTTAATATTCATGATAAACAAAATAAGAAATGTGATATATGTGTAGAATCTAAAATAACCAAGAAAAGTTGTAAGTCTGTAGAACGTCAAACTGAACTTTTAGGATTGATCTAGCTTATCTAAAACAAACCACGTCAAGAGGTGGTAAAAATT